AAAGCCCGAGTGGAATTAGAGTTGGCGAGGGATGTCAGGGACAACAGGAAGGGCTTCTATAAATATATCAGCAGCAAGAGGAAGATGAGGGAATAAGTCAGTGAGCTGCTGAATGGGGAAGGGGTCTTGGTGACGGAGGATGCCGAGAAGGAGTAAGTTACTAAATGCCTTCTTTGCCTCTGTCTTTACTGCTAAGGCCACTCCCCATGAATTGCAGGGCTCCAATAGAAGAGATATAAATGGGCTAGAGGAAGACCTTCCGCTGGTTGAGAAGGATTGGGTTAGGGATCACTTAGGCAAACTGGCCACTCAAAAATCTATGGGCCCAGATGGGATGCACCCAAGAGTGCTGAGGGAACTGGCTGAGGTTGTTGCTCAGCCTCTCTCCATCATCTTYGAGAGGTCCTGGAGAGCAGGGGAGGTGCCCGAGGACTGGAAGAGAGCCAACGTCACTCCAGTCTTCAAAAAGGGCAAGAGGGAGGAGCCGGGCAATTACACGCTGGTCAGCCTCACCTCCGTCCCTGGAAAGGGATGGGGCAGCTCATCCTAGAGAGCATCCCTAGGCATGTGAAGGAGAAGAAGCTGCTGAGGAGCAGTCAGCATGGATTCACCAAGGGGAAGTCATGTCTGACGAACCTCATAGCCTTCTATGATGGGGTGACAGGCTGGCTGGATGAGGGGAGAGCCGTGGATGTTGTCTACCTTGACTTCAGCAAGGCTTTTGACACTGTCTCCCATAATATCCTCATACGGAAGCTCCGGGAGACTGGACTAGATGAGTGCACAGTGCGGTGGATCGAGGGCAGGCTGGATGGCAGAGCTCAGAGGGTGGTGATAAATGGGGCCCAGTCCAGTTGAAGGCCTGTGGCCAGTGGTGTCCCCCAGGGGTCAGTACTGGGCCCAGTGCTGTTCAACTTGTTCATCAGTGACCTGGACGAGGGCACGGAATGCACCCTGAGCAAGTTTGCAGATGACACCAAGCTGGGTGGAGTGGCCGACACTCCGGAGGGCTGTGCTGCCATCCAGAGGGACCTGGACAGGCTGGAGAGTTGGACAGAGAGGAACCTCATGAGGTTCAATAAGGACAAGTGCAGGGTCCAGCACCTGGAGAGGAATAACCCCAGGCATCAGTACAGATTAGGGGTGGACCTGCTGGAAAGCACCTCCACGGAGAGGGACCTGGGAGTCCTGGTTGACACTAAGTTAACCATGAGTGAGCAGTGTGCCCTCGTGGCCAAGAAGGCCAATGGCATCCTGGCCTGCATCAGGAGGAGTGTTGCCAGCAGGTCAAGGGAGGTGATTCTGCCCCTCTACTCAGCTCTGGTGAGGCCTCACCTGGAGTATTGGGGGCAGTTCTGGGCTCCCCAGTATAGGAGGGATGTGGAACTTCCGGAGAGGGTCCAGCGGAGGACAACCAAGACGATTAAGGCACTGGAACATCTCTGGTATGAGCAGAGACTGAGTGAGTTGGGCCTGTTTAGCTTGGGGAAGAGAAAGCGGAGAGGGGATCTGATTAACATGTATTAGTACATCAAGGGGGAATGTAGGGAGGAAGGGGCCAAGCTCTTCTCAGTGGTGGCCAGTGACGGGACTAGGGGCAATGGGTATAAATTGAAACCCAGGCAGTTCCATCTCCAGGTAAGGAAGAACTTTTTCACTGTGAGGGTGACAGAGCCCTGGCACAGGCTGCCCAGGGAGGCTGTGGAGTCTCCTTCTCTGGAGGTCTTCCAAACCCGCCTGGATGCCGCCCTCTGCCCCGTGCTCTGGGTGTCCCTGCTGGAGCAGGGGGTTGGACGAGATGATCTCTAGAGGTCCCTTCCAGCCTCAGCCACTCTGGGATTCTGTGATTTCCCACACCCATTTCCCACACATCATACCTCCAAGAGATCCCGTTCCTTAGGCCTCATCTCCATGTGGTTGGGAACGTCTTAGCAGGCAAATGCCCAGGAGCCTCCCAGACCAGCTCCCGTTTCCTCGTGCGTCACCCAAATGGCTCTAGAAATGGCTTTTTCTTTTTCCCAGGGACAAGTGGTCACCACTAGGCCGGAGTCCGGCCTTGCAGCCACTGCCTTTTCAGGCCTTCCCCTTTGGAGCAGTAGGGATTATTTCTCAGGAAGAGCCCAATTTGGGGGCAAAGCAAGGAATCTGGTTCAAATAAAGGGCCTTAGTCTATTTGCTGGGAAGCTTTTTAATGTTGGTGAGTAGAGGGATCCATTGCAAAATCAGGTAATCAAGGACCAGGGTAGGGTTGGGGTCAAGTGTGGGGGTCACGGGCCAGGATCCACATCTGTGGTCAGGGCAGGGCAAGGTTTGGGGTCAAGGTGCGGTAGGTCACGGGCGTCACGGTCCATGGCCAAGGTCTTGGGTAGCATCTGGGTAAGGTCTTAAGCACCGTGGCCAAGGTCTTGGGTAGCAATGTCTTTGGTCAGGTTCAGAATCAAGATCCAGGTTAACATCCTGGGTAAGGTCAGGATCAAGGTATGGGCTGAAGGTCTGAGGTCAAGGTCCAGGATCAAGGCCCAGGCTTGAGGTCCAGGCTAAAAGTGTGGGGTCAATTTCCAAGGTCAAGGCCCAGGGTAAGATCCAGGGCCAAGGTCTGGGGTTTGGGCCCAGGTTCGAGGTCTGTGTTCAAGGTCCAGGATCAGGTCCAGGTGGTCCAGGACAGGGGTCAGGTGCAATGTAGTGTCCCGGGCCAAGGTCCATGGTAACGTTCAGGGGCAGGTGTGTGGTCACGGTGCGGGGTTAAGGTCTGAGTTCATGATCCTGGGTCAGATCCAGGGTCGAGGTGTCGGATCACGTTCCATGTTAAGCTCCGGGCTGGGGCGTGGGCTCAAGGCCCGTGGTCCGAGATCCCGGGTTCAGGTTCAGGGTAGGGGCCACGGTGAACATCCGGGGTCAGGACCTGGTTGGGGCCTGGGGTCAAGGTTGGGGTTCAACTGCAGCAGGAGCATTGGGGGGTGGGGCTTGGGAAGGGGTGTGGCCCGAGGCCTGCTTGGCCCCGCCCCCACAGTGCCTTGTCCAGGAGGTGCCGCTGGACCTTCCCCACAGGTGCCAGAGGTCCCAGGGGGCTATTGAGGGCCCTGGGAGCGTCTGGGGGGGTTCTTTGGGGGTCCTGGAGGAACTTAGAGTGCCCTGGAGGGCACTGGAGGGATTTGGGGGAAGATGAGGGGTATTTGAGGGTCTCTGGTGGGTTATTGTGGGTCCCTGTGGGGGTATTGGGGATCCACGGTGGGTTACATGGGGGCTCTAAGGAGGGAATTGGAGGTCTCAGGGGGTACAGGGTATATGTGGATATTTGGGGTGTCCCTGTGGGTCTTTAGGAATCCTGGGGTGTGACTGGGAATCCAAGGGGGACATTTGGAGTCCTGTGGAGTTTTTTGGGGGGGAGGGGAGGGGCTCTGTGTGACCTGGAGAAACTTAGGAGTCCCTAGAGGGGGGACTGGAGGATCTAGGCGGCAGATGGGAGAAATTTGAGTGTTACTGGGAGGCTGTTGGGGGTCCTGGGGGGCCTTTGGGTGTCCTGGAGGAACTCTGGTGCCCCCAGGGGGCTGATTGGGGGCAGAGTTATGGGGCAGGCACTAGAGTGTCCTTAGGGGAATATCAGGGGTCCCTGGTGGAGATTCGGGGTCTTAGGAGCCCTGGAGGAACTTAGGGGGTCTCTAGGGGCAATCAGTCGCGTGGGGGGCGGGGTCGCCCCGGGGGCGGGGCCTCCCGTGTTTGGCGGGCCAATCAGAGCGCACTGCGCGGAACGCCCGGTGCGGGTGTCGAGCGGGCCGCGCTCCGAGGGGCGGAAAGGGCCCGGACCGGAGCCCGGGGGCGGGGACGGCCCTTAAAAGGAGAACGGGGGTGGGGCGGGGGCGTGGCCTGGCCTTAAAGTGAACGCGCCTGGGTGGGGGCGGGGCTAGAGCCGCGCGGGGGGGCTGAGGGGCGGCTGCGTGGAGGGGGAGGCTACACTGGGGGCGTGGCCTGTTAGGGGGCGTGGTCATTGCCCCGCTAGGCCCCGCCCCCCGCAGGGCCCGGCCGAGGCGGCGTCCCCGGATGCGGCCCCGGCCCGGCGGCGCCGGAACAGGAAGGAACGGGTTAAAACTGCGTGTTTTTCACCCGGTTTTGTCCCAAAATCGCCTTGTTTGGGACTTAACCACACTTTGCCCCCTCGCCCGGCCGGGGAAGGAAGGGGCGGGGCCGAGGCTGGTCACGTGGTTTCTGGGAAGCGGCGGGTCCGACGCCGGGAGCGCGGCCGAGAGCGGGAGCCGAGGCCGCGGGGCAGGAGGTGAGGCGGGAGGGGGGGCTCTGACGTCACGGGGGGCGCGGTGACGTCACGGGGGACCCCCCCCTTTCCCATGTCCCCCCGGCCACCCCTCATCTCCGGGCGCAACACCCCCAATTCCTGGTGTCCCCCTGGTCCCAGTGTCCCCCGTCCGGGTGTCCCCTCGTCCCTTGTCCTCCCGTGCCGCCTGTGCCCCCATCCCCACATCCCCCATCCCCCCACATCCCGGGGCAGTGACGTGGGCCCCGCTCCCTGCCCAGCGCCATGGGCCACGTTGGGGCCTCGCGGGCTGCGTGGCCGGCTGGTGCCACCGCGTGTCCCCGCGTGTAAACGTGTGTCCCCGCGTGTCCGTGTGTGTCCCTGTGTGTAGCCACGCATCCCTGCGTGTCCCCGTAACTGTGTGCATGTGTGTAACTGTCACCGTGGGTGCCCATGTGGATCCGCGTGTCCCTGTGTGTCACCGTGTCCCCGCGTGTGCCCCCGCGTGTCACGGTGTCCCCGTGTGTCCGTGTGTGTCCGTGTCACTGCACGTCCCTGCGTGTCAACACGTGTCCATGTGTGTAACATGTCCCTGCGTGTCCCCATGTGTCGCCGTGTGTCCCTGCGTGTCCCCGTAACTGTGCCCGTGTGTGCAACTGTGTCACCGCGGGTATCCGTGTCCCCCCGCCGCGTGTCCCCGTGACGGCGGGGTGACGGTGCCCCCCGCGCCCCATGGCAGGCGCAGGCGCGGGCCATGTCGGGGGGCCGGCGGCGGCTCCGCGCGTGGCTGGTGGCGCAGGTGGAGAGCGGCCGCTTCGCGGGGCTCGAGTGGGACGACGGGGCGCGCGGCGCCGTGCGCATCCCCTGGAAGCACGCGGGCAAGCACGACCACGGCCCGCGCGACGCCGCCTTCTTCCAGGTGCGACACCGCGCGGGGACAGCGCGGGCAACACCGTGTGTGCGTGTGTGTGACAATGTGCGTGTGTGTGACACTGTGTGTGACACTGTGTGCGTGTGTGTGACACCATGCGTGTGTGTGACACTGTGTGCGTGTGTGTGACACCGTGTGTGTGTGTGTGACACTGTGTGACACCGTGTGTGTGACACCGTGTGTGTGCGACACCATGTGCGTGTGACACCGTGTGTGTGTGTGTGTGACACTATGTGACACCGTGTGTGTTTGTGACACTGCGTGTGTGTGTGACACCGTGTGTGTGTGTGACACTGTATGACACCGTGTGTGTGTGTGACACCGTGTGTGTGTGTGACACCGTGTGCGTGTGACACCGTGTGTGTTTGTGACACCATGTGTGTGTGTGTGACACTGTGTGACACCATGTGTGTGCGACACCATGTGCGTGTGACACCGTGTGTGTGTGTGTGACACTGCGTGTGTGTGACACTGTGTGACACCGTGTGTGTGTGTGACACCGTGTGTGTGTGTGACACCGTGCGGCAGGGGCGCCCACGCGGGGGAGCAGCGTGCCGAGGCACGCGCTAGCACACGCCACCGGCACACTAGCACACCGTAACAGCACGCTAGCAGCATGCTGGCGCACACTAACACGTGCTAACACATGTTAATGGCATGATAACACACACTAAGAGCATGCTAGTGCATGCTAACACACGCTAAAGGCATGCTAGCACATGCTAATGCATGCTAACATATGCTAATGGCAGGTTAGCACACACAGCACACTAGCACATGCTAGCACACGCCAACAGCACACATGCACACACTGACACATGCTAACAACATGCTGGTGCACACCAAGGTGGGGGGAGGCGCGCTACCACCACAGTGACACAGGCAAAGACACATTAATGTGCCCTGAGACACATCAGCAACACAGCGATCAGGCTCATGCATGCTATCAACATGCTATCAACATGCTATCAGCATGCTATCAGCATGCTATCAAGCCCCACAAATGTGCCCAGAGATGCATGATCAGCACATTGGGACATGCAAACGCGGGCCGAGGTGCACTCGCCACATGCCAAGAGCTGCTCGTGTGGGCCAGGACGTGGCAGCAACGCACTGAGAGGCGCTAGGAACACGCTAACACACGCCAACATGTGCTGTGGCGCGCTAGCAACACGCTGACACGTGTTAACATGCACTGAGATGCACTAAAACCACGTTCAGGCATGTCCTGACATGTTAACACATGCTAAGGCGCACTGACAACATACTAAGACATGCCAGTGTGCGCTGAGACACACTAGTAACTTGCTGAGATGTGCTGTCATGTGCTGACATGCGCTAACACGCTGAGCGATGCCAGCGTGCACTTAGATGCACCCTAATGTGTTGTTACACGTTAAAACACGGCAACGTGTGCTAAGACATACTAGCAACACGCTAAGAGGTGCTTGGCCTGTCGTTAGCGTGTTGCGTGCATAAACATGACCCCAAACGGAGGGAAAGCCCCATCCCAGACCCCGCGACCTGCATCCACGCAGCCTGGCCCCTGCAGCACACGCTTAGCATGTCCACAGCCTCTGTGGCATGTCCCTAGCGTGTCCCTAGCATGTCCTTAGCATGTTAGATACACACACATGACCTGAGATGTAGCGAAATCTCCCCCCACACCCCATTACCTGCATCCATGCAGCAGGTACCCCTGGGGCACCCCCTTACCGTGTCCATAGGGTTTCCTTAGCGTGTTGGGGAGCATAAACATGACGTGAAATCACGTGCAGGCTCCGTCCCAGCCCGTTCCCTGTGTTTGGGGGACAACGCATGTCCCTCCTCGCGCCCGCACGCCACGGCGTGTCCCGAGCATGTGCTTAGCGTGTGCCTGGCGCGCGGCAGGCGTGGGCCGAGTACAAGGGCAAGCGCCGTCCCGGGGCGGCGCTGGACGCGGCGAGCTGCAAGACGCGGCTCCGCTGCGCCCTCAACAAGAGCCCCGAGTTCGTGGAGGTGCCCGAGCGGAGCCGCCTCGACGGGCCCCAGCCCTACAAGGTCTATCGGCTGCTGCCCAGCCCCCCGCCCCGCGGTGAGTGACGCGGGGGCCCCGGCGTCCGGGTGGGGGGCCCAGGGGTCTGAGAGGCATCCCAGGGGTCTGGGGAAAGAGCGAGGCATCTGGGAAAGGGGAACAGATGTTTGGGAAGGGGCCCAGGCATCCAGGTGGGGGACCCTTGAGTCCGGGAGGGGGCCAAAGCGTCCCATGAAGGGGTCCAGGAGGCGGGAGAGGGGAACAGTTGTTTGGTGTAGGTCCCAGGTGCCTGGGAAAGGGGCACATATGTCTGGGAAAGGGGTGCAGGAGTCCGGGAAAGGGGCCCAAGCATCCATGGAAGGGGCTCAGGGATCTGGGAGGTGAGTCCTGATGTCTGGGAGAGGGCCCAGACACGCAGGAGGGAACCCAGGAGCGCCAGGAAGCGCCCGGGTGTCCAGGAGGGGTCCAGGCGTCCGGGTGAGGGACTGGGGTGTCCGGGTGCCTACAGGTGGGCAGCAGCCGCGGCGCCCCAGGCCCAGCCCCCAGCAGGACAGGGGCTCCGCCCCCCCGGAGGCGCCCCCGGAGCCGCAGCCCCCCCCGGAGGCGGTAGGTTGGCGGGCAGGTGGGGGGGCGCTTTGGGGGCAGGCCCCCCCCACCAAGGCCCTTCTCTGCCCCCCACCAGGCACCACCGTCCACCAGCTCCGATGAGGCGGCAGCCCCCGCCCCAGATACGTGGGACCCTTGTGAGTGCTGGGGCTGCTGCGGGGGCACTTATGGGCCCGAGGGGGGCAATTGTGGGTCTAGAAGGGGCAGTTATGGGGCTGTGTGGCCAATGGGTAGGGCAGCTGTGGGGTTGGGGGAGCAGCTATGGGTCTGGGAGGGCAATTAGGAACCTGGGGGAGGCAGTTATAGGGCCATGGGGTAGTTACGGGGCTGGAGGGCCAGCTATGGGGCTGGATGAGGTGCGGACTGGGGAGGGCAGTTATGATTTAGGGAGGTGGTTATGGGGGGCAAATATGGGTGGGGGGCAGTTGTGGGGGAGGTGACTATGGGCTGAGGGGCAGTTATGGGGCTGGGAGCAGATATGGGGTGGTGGGTGGGGCCTGACCCCTCCTTCCCCCAGCCCCGCCCAGCCTCGAGATCGTCATGGAGAGCCCAGAGCCCCTCCCCCCCGCGCAAGGTGAGCCCCGCCCCCTGCATGGGCCCCGCCCCCAGGGCAGATGCTCCTGTAGCCCTGCCCCCTGCGCGGGCCCCACCCCCAGGGCATTGCTATTGCCCCACCCCCTGCATGGGCCCCACCCCCTTGGCCAGTTCATCCCTTAACTCCGCCCCACAGCAACTCTGTCCCCGCCCCAGCACCACTAACATGTTTGGCCCGCCCCAATTCATCCAATGGCCCCGCCCCCAGTAGCCCTTGGCCCCGCCCCCAGTGCCCCATAGCCTCGCTGCTTGGCCCCGCCCTGTCAACCCCTGACTCTGCCCCAGCAATCCTATGGCCCCGCCCCCAGATCCCAACCTAGCCCTGTGGCCCCACCTCCAGGACCCTTGGCCCCGCCCCCGGTACCCTGTGACTCCTCCCCCACACCGCTATGGCCCCGCCCCCAGCACCCTCCGCACCTGGCCCTGCACCCAATTCTCCCCGTGACTCCGCCCCCGCCCCGCACGGCCCCGCCCCCGCGCTGGCCCCGCCCCGCACTAGCGCCGCCCCTCTCCCCGCAGGGGGGGCGGCGCTGGCGCTGCGCGTGTGGCTGGGCGGGGCGGCGGCGTGGGGGGCGTGGCTGCCGCCCGGTGCCTACGCGGTGACGCAGCGGGGCCCCGCGGGGGCGGGGCCGGAGCCGCTGCTGCCCCGCCTCCTGCTGCCGGCGCCGCGCGGCGGCGACGGGCCCGGTGGGGCCGCCGTGGGGCGGCTCGTGGCGGAGCTGGTGCCCGGGCTGCTCGTGGCCAGCACGGCCCGCGGCCTCTTCGTGCGGTGCCGCGGGGCCGCCCCCGTCTACTGCCACCCGCCCGCGCCCCACGACGGCCCCGGGGAGCGCGACGGCGGCCCCCTGGGGCGCGACGCCCTCGTGCAGGTGTTCGACGCCGGCCGCTTCCGACAGGGTACGTGACAGCCCTGTCGAGCCCCGGCCCCGCGGCGGCCACTGCGTCGCCTTCACTGTGGTCCCCCCATATCCCCTCGCAGAGGTGGAGCGGCACCGAGAAGGGCTGGCCCCGGCGCCCCCGCCGCGCGTCACCCTGGCCGTGGGGCAGCCGCTGGCTCCCGGCCAGGGGCCCCAAGATGGCACCTTGGTGCTGCAGGTGGGAATCTGTTGGGGGGCTGCAGGGCGCTGGCTGTGGGGCAGGAAGAGAGACACAAGGGGCTGGGGGGCGCGTGGAGGGACCCTGCTGCAGAAGGTGGGGGCAGCGGTGGGGCTGCCCCTGACACCCATCTCCCCCAGCTGGAACAGGCCTTCGCGCAGCCGCTCCTGGAGGGCCCCGCGGCGCCAGCACCCCCCTGCGCCTGAGAGGCGGCGGGACTTCCCGCGCCCCCCAGGCCCTGCTCGCCCACCTGCACGTGAATGTGGGGCGGCCTGGCGACCCCCAATAAAGTCTCCTGTGGTCCCGGCAGCTGTGGGGCTGATCGCACGCGTGTGTCTCCTCTGTCACCCCGATATCCCCCCAGGCCCCCGTGACCCCCTTGTGTTCTCACCCCCCCCTTCAGTCACCTCCTCTGCCCCCATTTCCCCCCAGGCGCCCCCGTGGCCCCCTTGTTCCCGCCCTGTCCCCCAACGTCTCCTCCAACGCCCCGTGCCCCCGCCGCTCCCATCACCTCTCGCAGCGCCGCCTCCTTGCCTTCGGCACGTAGCCCGCTGAAGCCCCGCCCTCCCAACCGCCTCCCATTGGCTAGAAGCGAAGTATGGCCCCCCACGTGGCGTGCAAGAGCACGTTGTGATTGGTCCACCGTGTCACCGAGGGAGGGGCTATGGCCCTTTGTGTGGCAGGGTACAGCCGAAGTCCCTGATTGGCAGACGCACCTGTGGTGGGAAAGCTTCCTATTGGTCTCTGCGGGCTCAGGGGGCGGGACGAGGTTATAAATAGCGGAGCGCGGGACAGAGCCGTGGGCGGGGCCGGGGCTAATTAACCCGGCGCTAATTAGCGGCGCCTGGGGCAGGGGATGAAATAGCGAGGGGGCGGCGTGATGGGCGGTCGCTTTAAGTATTTATAACAGCTGTGCGCAGAAGAAGTCTTTAATCGACTTTCTCTTAATAAATTAACTTACTAATTTAGTAATATGAAATAGCTTTAAGGTAAATACTATTTACCTAATTGGAATATTTATTTATTTTAACGTATGTAATCTGTTTAGGAGCTAACTAATCTGAACTACCTCATTAATTAGGCTATTAGGCTCTTGATACATTAATTAATAGCTGGGGGCTCAGCCACCAAAGATGTGGGAAATCCCGATTTTGGGGGGATTTTCAGCGAGTTGAGGGGCTCCTAAAATTGGGATTTCTTTTTATTTTTTTTTTTTTTTAACTTCCTGCTTTTAGGATGGGAAGTTCGGGGTAATTTGGGACTCTCGGGGGCTTCTGTTTTGAGCATCTCAAATGCGGGGCAGTTGATGCCTTTCTGAGAGGCCCCTTTGGGAGGAGCGCACATTCGGGCCTCCCGGGTGCCGTTAGGCTCCGCTGCGGCGGGCGGCACTGGCCGCTCACGGGAGATGGCGCTGGGGGCGCCCGCGGCTGCCTCGCACCGGCCTTCCCTGCTCCGCCTTCGGCACGGGCTCCTTCCCGCTTCCCTGGGTCCCCCCGCGGGAAGCGCAGCGCTCCCTCCGCCTGCAGCTGCTCCCGGAGCCGCCTCGCCGGGGGCCGCCGGCACGGGGAGCAACGGGCGGCCGGGGGTGACGGTTACACAGCGTCCGTTACAGCCCGTTACAGCCGGCTCGTGCAGCTGCCCTGCCGCGAGCGAGCGCCGCCGCCCCCAGCGCCGCCCCAGGCGGCTCTCGCCGCGAGCCCCGTCCCCGGGGCACGGGGGAGCGCTGGCCGGGCCGGGCCGGGCCGTTACCGGAGCTGCTGGACGCCCCAGCACAGCGGCACCGGCAGCCGCCCCGGCGCGAGCCGGCGCCTGCGCAGCGGGGAACGGCCCCTTTCAGTGGATTCCTGTTGAGGTATAACCGCCTCAAAAATACACACATGTCAGTTTCAGAAACGGACCTTTCAGTGGCTTTCACTACAAAATCATTTTCGGAGCTCGGCTTTAGAAAGACAGTACAATAAAACCTCACGGAGGGAAGATCAGACCCACAGGCTACTACAGCTTTATCACTGTAAGACCCAGGCAAACGTGCACGTTAAAAGTCCGGCTAACCCTGGGCACCAGCCGCACTGCCCCTGCAGGCTGGGGCACTGTTAATCCTCAGCCCCTTAGTTGAGGCATTAGCGTGAGAGCCGGGCATGGGACAAGCCCAGCAGCTGCTCCTCTGCACCTTGCTCAACAGCGGCTGACAGCAAACTGGCGTTTTAACAGGTGGCTGCTTTGGCTGGAACTGAAATCCCGTAAAGGCATGTTGGATATACAATATATCTGTTCTGTGGCACTGCCGAGCTTGTAAGCAGTTCTATCCTGTTTGAATTCCCAGAGAGCCACGCAGGAGTTGGAATGTTCATCCAAAATTCAGTTTTCTTTGTTCTGTCTTACGATGGATGAACAGTAAAAGTGGAGTTAGTCTTCTCACTATTGAAGGCCTTTTACTTCCACATTGAAGAAAGAAAGAAAAAATCCCCACACCAGTACAGGTGTTTCCTGCACACCCCACAGTCACAGTGAACTCAACTCTTGTTTTCCTTCTCCGGCACAGTGCTTTACTGTGTAATAAATTCAGGACCTCCCCACACACATTGCTGAGTTCCAGCATATCCACCAACCAAAACATACAAAAGACTTAAAATTTCCTGGGACTGCAGGATTAGGAAAGTATTCCAAGCTGCCCCACGAGTCGCTTTAACTAAAGTTCTGTTTCACTCACTGTGTCTTGCTGTGCACAACAGGAAGCAGAGAACGTTGAAGTCAGCAGCAGTGAAGCCGCCGAAACGACGCGGCGTGAGCGCATGCTGCTCGGGCAGGCCTGTCGCTGCCGCTGCTTACAAGGCACATCTGTTGACATTGAATATCTTAACGCAGTGGTCGGCACCGCAGCTCGCGAGCTGCAGCCACTCGCTGCCCTCGTGGTCCTCGTGCCCCGCTCGGCCCTGCCGGGGTCTCCAGCACAGCCGCTTCACAGCCAGAGCGTGGCCTCGGCTGCAAGGGGCAGAGATCCGTGCGTGAGCGACTGCCCAGCGGCCACCATGGCCGCACAGGGCAGCATCAACACCACCCTCTGTATAACGGACAGCCCCCTGCCAACACTGCCAACTCCCGTCCCCCCCAAAAACCCTGACTTGTGACAAGCAGCAGGTATGAACTGCCTCGAATACGTACAAATTTAAACATTAACACTAAAAACACTTATCTTCCTCCTCGTCAATAACAGCTACTGATTTCAAGCTGCAGGTCTAACCTCTCAGCTGCCGAGGATGACAACTGGCCTTTTGCCAGATTTCCTGCCGTTTGACGTCTTTCTAATTCAGTTCAAGCACACACAGGCCGAACTTACCATCATCCTTCAATCGTGGTACTACCAATGCCAGTGTGTAAGAGAGGGGACTATGAAACATACTTCAATGAAAAACACTGGAAGCACCTCCACAGAGGTGCTGGTTTCTCTTGCAGTTCCTGCATCTCGGGGGCTCGAAACTTGTCACTCCCTGGGTTTCTGCTACAAGCTGCACGAGTCCCACATGCAGTCCAAAACGCTGACGTGCTTCGGGAGCAGCCCTCACCCACCTACTGATACATTTAGACTGTACCGCCTCCTCCCCCCATGTCCATCATTTCTAATGCCTAAGGATAATAAAGTTCTGAAAAATAAAATAATCACCTCCCCCTCCCTCCACACATACTCTTTAGGCCAAAGAAGTGAATAATCTGTAAAAATTTTTACATAGTGTGAAGCATCTTATGGTTCAACACCACCTCCCACCTCCACCTTCTGTTTTTCTTTTTGAGGATTCCCAATAACCAATTATTTTAAGTGTTATGTTTTACTTAGGGATATCAGGGATGACCCTTCCTGAAAAGTAGGCCAAACCACTAACACACAAATGAAACCTGCAGTCCCTTTGTACTCTGAGGGAGGATTCCAGAAGCGTCTTCGGAAGGTGTTCCCTTGCTCCAGCGCCCTTCCCAAGCCATACCTGTCGTCCATTTGGACACACTTGCTCCAGTCGGTGGCCGCTGGCTCCTGCCCGCTCTGCTTCCACGTGAGCAGATGAATGGTCCCGCTCTCCAGGCCGACCGCGACGATGTATCTGCCAAGAGGGAGCTGCCTCAGTCCAGGGGCTAAGGACAGCAGCAGCCGCAAGGAGCCCAGAGAGGGCCCGTGCCCCAAACACCCGTGCTGCAGCTGCACATAAGTATTTACTTGGTCACCAAGAAATCGCCATCTTAAACAAAGTTTCTTCACAATAAAACAAAACCAGGAAAAAAGCAAAAAACCCACAGAACCCTGCAAAATATACTAGTACACATATACAAAAAAGATTTATATACATATATATATATATATATAAATTTTTAAAAAGTGCTCATTAAGGAGGGATATTAGAGCATCAGACCAGCTGACACTGATGGAAAACCAAAGGTGCTTCAGGTGCCCTTGCCCACTCACCCCTGCCCCTCATTACACTATTTGGGGGAGTCACTGAAAGGTGCAGCAGAAAGACAGGAAAGAAAAAAGGGTGAAGTCAATCAAAGAATAGCCAGAGCATCCGACAGGTAGGTGTTAAGTAATTCTTGACAAGTAGATCTCCTCACCAAAACTGAATAAAGTGGGGAAAAACAAGCAAACAAACAAGCAAGCAAACACCCCCCCGCCCGCCCCCCATCTCTGTGTGAGCCCCTGCAGCCCCCCCGAGCTGCCCCCCGTACCTGCCGCCGGGGGCGGGCGCCCGGCCCACGGCCACGGCGGTGACGGCATCGCCGGCCTCCAGCGGCGCCGAGCACGGACGCGGCGCCGGCATCGCGCCGCCCGCACCCCACTCGCACCGGCCCCACACCAGCACCTGCAGGGAGAGCAGCGGCCACACGCTCTTAGTCTCTCTGTAAACTTGATGGACACGTCGGGACAACCTCGATTCAAGCAGCCCCAAAGCTCAGAGCAAAGGTGCTGGGCCCTAAAGGAGCCCAAAAGTTCTCTCTACAGAAGGTCAGTCCTTAAAGAGGACTGCCTCGGGGTACTAAATACATGGAGAATAAGCATAGATTCCATTACTAAACCTAAATATATAAATATTATTATATAATATAAAATATACAATAATATACAATATTATTTTTATTTTTTTTACTGATCCTTGGTCCAAAAATACACAGCATCGGCTAACCTTAAAGGCATTTTAAACTTCTTCTTATAGTTTATACATTATAATATTATTACAGTATATTTTACATATTTATATATTTCTTTTTCCTATGTTAGGCTTTGTTAATGACTTTTGTTAATTACCTTTTTGTCCCGGCTGCCAGTAACAAAATACTTGCTATCTGGCGTCCAGTCACACGACCAAATGATTCGACTGTGCACAGCTGTGGTTTTGTCTGTGTAAGCGCAGCAGGAGAAAACAGGTCCTGAAACACAGCACGTACAGGAGGATCCTTGCTTCAATTCCTTTACATATATTGACATATTTTTCCTTCAAATCTTGGGACTAAACTCCAGCAATAATGGATTTATCATAACAATAAGGATCAGACATATTGAAACAAGTTGGGAATACATAACAGTGTTCTTCCCCCACACACTTAGCACATGGTCATAACTAGCAGTCATTCAAGATGGTTGTACCAGTCAACCTGTGCAGCCCTAAAACTAAGGCAGCAGTTTTTTCTTCTACATGTTTCAAAAGGCAAAATCCAAGCATAGGAGGTTAATATTTTATTAAAGCTTTTAAAAGTACAGTGCAATTTTTACTGCATACACAGGTACTCCATGAAAAACTCCTATTTACCGCTAAGGTTTTCCAGTTAGGGTCCAAGAATTCAAGTCATAAGGATCTGATCTCAAAGATCAATGTGCTCCCAAAAAGACAGACCACCCTTTCACTAGGCATACAGAGTAGATCAGTGAATGGGAACAACTTTCCTAAATAAAGCTGCCTTTTTATTAAGCAGACGTGGAGAAGCCACTTCTTGGGAAGGCGGCACGTGCAGCTTTGCTTTACACTGCTGATCTGCCCTTCGTTGACAGAAAAGATGCTGATGGGCAGATGAAATGAAGGTTTCACCTACTTGCTTTTCTATCCCAATTCCTACGCCTTAGCTTGAAACTCAACATGCTGCTTGGTGCTCAGCTGCTGTGGACAACACGCTAATCTTGAACCAGAGCAGCCTGAATAGGAGCCTAAAGGCAGAGCACAGACAGACACCCCCTGACTGGGCCAAGGCACAGGGCCAGGTCTCTAGGAAAATGCCGTCGGGCTGAGGAACCTTTCACCAAACCTGTGGTGTTTAAGCATTACCCGACTGGTGCAATGACAGTGCTTGTCACTGCAGGCAAGTGACAAGGGACCCACTGCAGGGCTCAGTAGCAGCTGCCTTTTGATCTTCCAAGGCCGAAAGCTGCAATGAGAAAGTCAGCTGCATCTTTACTATCTGCGCGTTTCCACACAGGGGCGGTCCCAGCCGAACCTACGGATTCTGAAGGATCTGGAGGCCAATCCTGCAGCAAGACCCCAAGTGTGACTTCCAGGCCGCTCCCAACGCCAACGGGAAGGGCCTGGGTGCTGGATCCCTACCTTGCAGCGCACACCACAAGCACAGACTCGTGTATTCCATCTCAGTAAACCCGAAGCACGGAGCCAGGAGCAGAAAAGGGTCTCCAAAAACAGCAGCCTTCCCAGCCCTCGTTTGAACGGCACTGGATACACGCACTATTAAAGACTTCTCTATTTTTCAATTCATTTTGTGGCTTTTCTATGAACCATCAGTGTTCTGAACTTCTAATAAAAAACAGTACTGTGACTTTTTAAGGAAAACATCCCTTAAATATTTTATCAATTCTCTCATGTATATCCCAAAATCAAAAACATTAAACAAGGCTAGATGCCTTCGAATATGCATCACCATTTCACATATCCCACCTGACTCTGATGAGTCTTGTTCCTTCCACAGTGACCAGTTCCTGTCTCTGGAAACAGCTAATAAAAGTTGATCGTTAGGAGAAAACGCCAGCTGGGTAACAGTCAGATTGTGGAAAGTCAAACTCTGCAGTTTCTTCCAAGACTCAGTGCTCCACAAAATTATAGCAGCGTGTTCCTTTTTGGAAGCCTGTGTTGATGCAATGATACCAGTTAGAATTAAAGAAAGCAAATACGAGTATGAAAAGTTCCCGTTAGAATTACGTAAGGCAAACACAAATACCACAAGTTCCAACAAGGCGTTAGGGGCCTTGCTTGCTTGCTTGGCTTGGAGTCAGCTTTCCTCTGGGAAGTTTCAAGTTTGCCTCACACACTTTTTAATGACTTATTAATATTGAAAATATATCAGTAAAACATTTTGTATCCGTGTTTGTTAGACTTTGAAATATATCTTTTTTCTTCTTAGTATCTTTGAATGAATTATATGTCCTTAAGGAATATTAAGCTTTTACGTAAAACTCCTTTGCGAGGTGATTTATACATTTTTTTTCTAGTTAACTTAAATACCAGAATTCAGCCTGAACCAAATCCTGACTCATGTTTCATCAATCCTAGAAAACCGACAGCACTTTTCACTAGATGGTGCTAGAATCTTTCCTTACCTTACATGCTGAGGCAATTATTGTATTGGCATTGTTGCAGGCAACACAAACAATTTCATATCCATGTCCATATCTGAAACAAGTGCAAAGAGATATTTGACACATCACAATCATTTCCGTGATACTTATCAAGTATCACAAAAGCAGATACTTCTTATTAATTTTAATCCCTCTGGAGAAACAAAAGCAAGCTGCTAGGAATTTTTCTTCAGCCCTATTATAGCGTAACGTGCCAAATAACTGCAAACAATGTTTGTTCTGTGTGCACCTTAGACCATCTGCATAAATTCTTCCACACAGGCTACAAAACAGTCTCTCCAATGTGTCAGAGGGTTCGAAAGCCCCAACACTGCAAAGCCACAGCTGTGGTTCCCAAGCACACCGCAGCAGTGTGTATTCCTCATTTCCTGTAAGTCCGAAGAGGGAGACACTGCAGCCCCCGGCACCTGCAGGCAGGATCCTGCTGAAATTCACCCCACACCTTCTGACTGGGATTCATTCAGCCGGTGAGCACCCAACTACCACAACTAACAGCCACACAAACCAGATCCATACAGAAGAAAAGTGGAGGTGCAACCTCCAAACAGCGGGCAAACACCAGCTCTAAGGGAGGTGCTGGTGCTCTGGGGCAAGGGGGGAAAGATGCCCAACGATTCAGTATCGGCAGGGGAGGTGTGAGAGATGGGAAACTGATTGTAAGGAAGCATTTGTAACCTTTAAACTTGCTACGGAAAGCTGTCCTAGGCTTAGCTTTACACTATGGAACTCACTTTTCTAAGAATGTATAGAAACATTTAAGAAGAATGCAGATCTCCATGAACCAAGTTGAACAACCTGTGGGTGACCTCAGCTGGACTGATAAATAATATAAAACAAGCTAGGAAAGGAATAATAAAAGGAAAAGGAATAATAAAACAAGCTAGGAAAGGCTGTTTTTTCCAGGCTTCTTCAACTTGGAAAACGTGACAGGGGTAACACCACTGACCCACAACAACAACAACGAAAAAGGGCCTATCCCATTGCAGAGCAAAACCATGAAAGCACACAGCAATTCCTTAGCACAGACTTGAACCATCACTGATCCTCTGGAGCAAGGAAGAACCAGGGATCTGAGCCCTCAACAGACCGTCAGGGCATCAGCACCTGAGGGCACAAGGAGAGTCTGATGATTTGAAAACTCAGCTGAAGAACGCAGGCAAATCCCCATTTCCCTGCTCCAGCAGCCATCAGCGAGACAGACTGTAATAGCTTTCTGAAAATATTACAAGACTTTTCATTTTTTATTCCCCCCCCCAAGAAACTTACAGCTTTTGGACTTCAGGCCACAGGGTATTCTGCAGCAAGTGATCCTCTGGGGGAGGCTCTAAAAGACACGTACAACACGTTCAAAGGTGGTGCCAACTAGTCTAAAACTCAGCTCCAAATGCACACTGAAACTCATTTGCTATTGCATAAAAGTGAATCCCATACCTGTGAGGATCAAGGGTTGAAAACTAATCTCAGGATACTGATTAGAAATGGAGTTAAAATTTTCTTCCTCGTCAGCTGGCTGAGGAGCCACATCTCCTAATCAAATGAAGGACTTCATTAGCCAGAGGGAAAACACTTGACAGAAAGAAAAACATGTTTAAGTATTATACAAGTAAAAGCTATCTATTAGTTTCAAAATTTCCTTCCCTCCCGCATTTTACAATGTTTAAGGCAAAAAGTCTCCCAAACTAATGATGATCTTCCAAATATAAGTGATATTCTGCAAGTAAAAAAATCAAACTTGCCTGGACATATCCACAATTTGCAAATTTCTGCGAGGCTGTCAGATGCTCAGCCCTTACCTCTAGACAAAAGGTACTAAAATAACTGAAATTACTCCATTAATTTGTAAGTTGAAATTCCTGTAAGTTAAAGTTCCTGTGCCACATGCTCTAGGTGTGCCTGCTTGAGCAGGAAGGTTGGACTAGATGATCTCTAGAGGTCCCTTCCAAACTTGAACATTCTGTGATTCTGTGAAAATTCAGCTGTACCTTTTGTTTTGTAAGTATTACTTAAGAAAAAGATACAGAGTTGGGTAAAAGTTACTCTCAAACAGAATCTGCCTTTTTGCCAAACAAGTATTTTGAATAAAGTTGTAAGTTATATATATATATACACACATATATATACACACACACACACACACACACACACATACACACACACACACTTATGCTTATATAAAACAGATACAGAGAATTCAGCAGAACAGAAAGACTGTCTCTCATCTATCCTGCCTTACCTTCCCCTGGAAGAAGAAATTAGGAGCATTTATCCAACCTAAGACCATTATCTGGGCTCATAACTGACCATGAAGGTCCCTCTGCAAAGTCGGACAGCAGAGACGTTCTACATGAAGCACCATCACAGTTATTTCCCGTTACCCGTACCTTCAAAGACAGCTTTATTGGACAAGCCCAAAGCTGGCACAATTGCACCTTCCGGGAGGTCAGATGATTGCTGAATTTAAAAAAATTAAAAAAATTAAAAAAAATAAAAAAAAAGAAAACAGAGGAAAAAAAACAGTTGGGTTGGTTAGATTGCTGCAAGTAACTAGGCTGCAGGTGGCACATTTCAGGGACCTGCAATAAAGAGGGACTTGGCTAGAGAGAGAAGCGAGGGGGAGCCCTTGGGACATCTGACATCCACAAGGTCCTCAGGGAAGGAACAACAACAGAAATGCAGAGCCCTGAGCCCAGGAAACCATCCTGGACGAGTGCTCTGGAAAAAGCAAAGCCAAGCAGAACTACACCCTGAAGAGACTGGGAAGCAAATACAGGACAGCAGTTTCTACAACCTTATTTTTTTTTCCAGAGTAGGAAAAAAGGGAATCTTAAAAAAATGCACATAAGAGTAGGGAAGTGAGCTCACCTACAGTTTGCTATACAGCCCTAAGAACAGAACAGCCTCACAAGGAAATTGCTGCTGCTAATAGGAAACAAAGCACGAGCCAAGTTCATAAATATTTATGCCCAAAATTAACAATGATGCCAAAAGCTTTGCTACTTCACAGCACATACACAGAAACAACAAACTACATCTGGACAAGACCACTTCACCCCTAGAACTCGGGGCGTATTTTCAAGCTTTGTTTGCTTTCAAATCCCTTAGTGCGTGCAGCAGTCTTGCTTGTGCTGATTTCTTACAATTCACCCATATCCTTTGCCACCTCAGAGACCAGGTTTAGTTTTATTTCAAAGAAAACCTGTTTTATCTGACACCACGATACAAACAGATGTGAAACAAGACACATAGCAGCAAATGAAATGGGAGGGAAAGAAAACAAAATATAAAGTTGTAAGACATATGAAAGAATCCTTATGGAATTTAATCAATCTGATGTCCCTTGAAGCATCATTTTTACTGATGAGGAAGGCATCTGTCTTCACTAGCACTGCCTGAGAACTTACCTGGTAGCACAGCTCCCCAACGGGGACACCAGTAATGTTACTGAAATTCTCCACGAAATTCCTGGGAGCCCGAAAGACTCGGAGCACTTTCTCATCTGCTCCAGACACAAACTGGAAGCGGCCGACCATTGCCAGGCAGCGCATGTCGTAGCCGTGTATCTGGGGCCTCGCAATTTCGTGCCAGGTCACCTAAGGGAACAGAACACACTTCTCAGCTCGGGAAGCAGAGCAATTTTGGAGCGGCAAAAGCAACGCAGTCATTCTCTATGTTCTTACAGCCAGCAAGCAACAGTGGCCTGCTAGTAAGGCCCACGGAACTGACGTGTGTGAGCACGTGTCAGCTAACGCCCTTCCTTCACCAAGCAGCTCGTGTAATGAGTAACGTGCATTCCTGCCTAGGCTGCCTCGGGGCATTGCTTACCTTTGCTGCAGGGAAGCAGCCCTTCACTCACTAGGGCGATTTCACAGGAAACAGCCGGGAACAGGGCACAGGTGACAGGCAAAAGGTGGACGGGGTGATTTCTGCTTTCAGACCTGTAGCTCTAAAAGATCTGAGCAGCAGTTATCACCCCTCCCTTGTGGCCTTTCAGGTACAAAAGCACTGCTGTAACCAGCAGGCGGGATTCATCCTTCCCCTTTTCTTTACATGAAAGATTTTAGAGAAACTTTATGGAGACTGAACAGAAAAAGCACAGAATCTTACAGGAAAACAATGTGGAAAATTATGGTGCTTTCAGAAGTGGTTTCATTCAAATATTTTTTTTTTGTTCTAGTTTTCTGAAATATTAATATTTGCACTTCAAATATGAATATTCACTCCCAGCAAAAATTATAATTAACAACTGACCAACAACTTGACAATTAGACAAGTTTGTATTAGGCTAGTAGTCTTTGCTTAGAATGATCAAAGATATGAAGTTACTTAAACTGCTTTTTTAATAATTAGTTTGTTCTAGCATGAACAAACGGCTTCAGGAAAGCCTGCTGTCCAGAAACCTCTTGTAAGTTTTGTTTTTGTTGTTGCTCCTCTTTAAATGAACTGACATTTGCTACTACTTACACATGATACTTCAGTTAGAGGAAAAAACAAACAAGTGGTGTGCATTTGTGAGTCAGTGGTTAGCAGAACCTCCATACTAGGCTGCCTAGAAAGCTGCAGTGAGGGCTGCATCTATACTGCAGTAAATATTACACAAACATAAAGAAAGGTGTTACCTTCACTACAAACTATCAATAGCTTGCTAAAAGAAGTATTAATTTCTTATATAAACATTTTCCATAAAACTTGAACAGGATATTTGAGAGAGACTATGAAAGCTAATGATCTTTTTGAAGTGCTTGATTATTTTCCAGCAGGGAAAAAAAAAATACAGGCATAAAATAGTAATAAGCCTTTTTTATTCTTTAAGTGCATCTTCTTACACTTCACAGCATAGCATGTAACAAAAAAAAAAAAAAAAAACATAAAATTGACCTTTGTACCATAAGACAAGATACACTGTCTTGCAAGAACACTGTAATTTTTCAGAGGCTAATCTCAGTAGGGGAAAAAAAAAAAACCTATATTACCTAAGTAAACTCAAGATTTTTTTTTTTTGTACAGCAGCAGTAGCCATGAGGCACAAACCCTGAGCACACAAGAACCCACCCCTTTAAATCCCCCGTTTCCACCTCCAGTGTTTCACCTCACTCCACCTACGGGATACGTGCTTCCGGACCCAGGGAAGCAGCGACACGTGTTGGGGCTGCCGGATTCACACAGTGTGACCGGCCAAACGGCTGCTCTTTGCTGAGGTGCGCGAGGAAAGGCCGACAACTCAGTTTACATCAAACCTGGATATGAAGAGTGCCACTGCCCTGGTTAGAGGCACTAATTAATCAAAAGCTTCACAAGCAGCAGGAGCAGCTGTACAAGCAGGAAAACGGCCCATCTGCTGTTTACCAAAGCGCATGAACAACTTGAACACTGGACCTTCTGTGCTCCGAGACAGACACATCAAAACTTAGTGGGAAACTGAAGCCCTGCTGTGGAGCACAGGAAGTTGTTTGGGAAGAGCTGCTCCCGAGAGCTCGCAGGCAAAGGTGAAGAGCGCTCGGGCAGCTCAGTGAATCGCTCTGCTCAACAGTCACACTCAAACACTCCCAACTGAAACAGTGTGAAAACACACTGAGAACTGGGCTGGAAGCAGCATGTGGGGAAAAAGATAAAAATATCTCTATAGTTTTCTCCTTGTTCAACCACTATGCGTAAGTATTTATTAATTATATCAGCTGAGGGAGCTGGGCCTGTTCAGCCTGGAGAAGAGGAGGATGAGGGGGGACCTGATCAGTGTGTATAAATACCTCAAGGGAGGGAGGGAGGAGGAGGGGGCCGGCCTCTTTTCAGTGGTGGACAGCAATAGGACTAGAGGAAACGGCCACAAGCTGAGGCACCAAAAGTTCCACAGGAACTTAAGGAAACACTTCTTGACAGTGAGGGTGACAGAGCCCTGGCACAGGCTGCCCAGAGAGGTTGTGGAGTCTCCTTCTTTGGAGATCTTCAAGGACCCGCTTGGACACAGCCCTGCGCCACGTGCTCTAGGTGACCCTGCGTGTGCAGAGGGGTTGGACTAGATGACCCCTGAGGTCCCTTCCACCCTTAAGGATTCTATGACTAAAACCAGCCTTGTATTTCTTCTTCTGAATTATTTCAGTATTTGTCTTTTAAGAGCCTGAGAGGACACTAGCTGAGGCTACTAAAACTCTGCACCTACAAAATGACCCATCCAAACACACAGTTTTGAACAGATTACAGCCTGGGAACTTGTTTCTTTATCAAGCTCACAGAAGTCTTTGAACAACGTACCTCTGTCTCGTGCTTTCTTTTCCAGGGAGCGAAGACTCTAGTAGTTTGATCAGAACTAACACTTATGATAAATTCTCCTTGTGGATCCCACTTTACATCTTCTACACTGTTAAAATGTCCTGAAATCACAACTTCTGGAGTCCATTCTTTCTGTATTTAAATGGAGGTGGAAAAAAAAAAATACCAGTTCAACTGACCGATTGATGTATTCTACCAAAATACAAGTGACAAAATACAAGCACGTTTATCAGAAAAATAAAACAAAAAAAGTAGAGAACATTTGAAAACTGTAGATGATTGGAACCCAGAGTGGCCAGACAGACACAGGTGCTTGTAGGAGATGGTTCATTGCTCAGAGCAAGACGTTCATGTTCCTGATTCGCCTGCCGTGTCCGAACCACGCACAGGACGGAGGAGTTTGGCCCCCTCCACCGATTGTTCCTGACACCACAAAGCCAATAAGGGGCTTCGCAGCCTGGGAGATTCCAGCCTCCCTTCCAGACAGGCATGAGGCTCCTGCGGAATGTTATATTCAGGAAAGGTCGACTCTACCACTTAGTTTAAACTGACCTGCGATATACTTGGTATTTTCGATGAAGTTTAGACCTTTTCTCTAGTGACAGGTAAGTGTATTTTTTAACCCCTACCAAAGGGGTTAAAGGAGGGAGGGAAGAAACAAAAAACAAGGAAGCCAAAGCAAGGAACGTCTTACCTTATTCAGCGCAGCCTGTTTCCAAAGGTGCAGTGCTCCGTGAAAAGCATGAGCAACTATCATTGAGCCATCCGGGCTAAACTGGCAGTCAAAAAATCCGAGTGTGTTGCCACCTACTTCACCTACCCGCACCTGAGTTAAGGATCACAAGTGAAACATCCATTAAAATGACCTTTCATTCTTACAAACTTACCCTGATGCCATAAAATTAATGTTCCCCTATGGGCAAGAACTTGAAGAATATCCTAACTGCAGAGTTAAGCACTAAAACATCTACTTTTAATAGGACTTCCTTTCATAAACATCTCAGAAGAGGATCTTTCTCAATCACCAAGCAGTAAGAAAATAACAAACAAACAAACATTGACTCTACATTTTCCAGGTAGTTTGTGTCATATTTTGGTCTCTGCGTCTCATAAAGCATGTGTATGTGTATATATATATATATAAATACACACACACACACACTATCCCCATACAGCTTCTTGAATGCTCTTCCAGAGTTTTCATTACATTTAAAAAAAATGTTAGAATTGTACCAATTGTACCTTCAAGGTTAGAATTATTTCTTTTGCATTAAGTTCCCCAAATTCCCTCAGTTTTACAAAAATGCCTTCAAGCTCAAAACGGCACGAACCCGTACCTAAGCTGACGTTAACCAGTGCTCGTTACCATCAGGCCTGTGGTTGTGTCCCGCTCGCCGGCACCAGCCCCACATCGGGTGCCAAGTAAGGGGCTGTGCGGCTCCGCTGCCCGCTCAGGGGCAGAATTCCAGCCCCACCTCTGAGCAGTGAATGATACTGCAAACTGCTCCTCTTCCATACAACATTAAGGCAGAAAAGGGTAGAGAATTGGACACGTTCCCTGCCTACTTCCTCCCAGTATTGATTTTAAAAGGAAATGAAGAACAGATTAATGAAGAACAGATTACAGAAGGTATCATTTCCCTTTCTCTTCTTGCAGGCTGCTGCTGTGGGTCTCCTTCCTCAATGCAAAACGGCAGATGGTAGTGGACCTGTCTGATCTGAACCATGAGCTACAAGCCCGAGATCCAATCAATGCAGAATGAACGTAAAGAGAATGTGTAACAAACCTGCAACACAGTGGGCCTGCAGCACAACTGAGTCTTGGAAAACTACTAATTCCAGTAGAATGGCCTGACAGTTTTCCAACAGAAAAAAGAAGACAAACAAACCAACCCCACTATCCTACTTCCCTTCTCCTCAAAAGAGGATATGATTTTTTTGTGTGTGTGTGTGACAGGAAAAGTCATAAATCAATAACTCGCATAACACAAAATTTCTGGACAATCTGGAAAAGCAAGTCCAGGAAAAGACATTAGATATATATGATTGTACTGCTATTTTTTTTCCCAAGGATGATCTATATTGTAACACAATTCTAAATGTAGTGAAATGTGATTATTTGGTACAAATTGAGGAAAACCAAAATGACAGTCTCCTCTCAGAATTACTAGAAATATAACACAGCTGTGCATTGCATGTTAGCTGCAATGCACAGCTTAAGTCCACGTTCCCATAAATACTAACCGTAAATGATCTAGGCTGGTTTCCTGCTCTTCGTACGAGCGTGCCGAGTGTCACCACAGGGCGCCCGACGCGCTGAGCCACAAACGGCGCTCAAGCGACTCCCCAACAGCGGGATAAGCGAGGGGACCAGCAGGAGCACAGATAGCGCTGCATCACAACATCACCTTTTTGACAACTATGGTTCCCAGCGTCAAAATCAAAGCCCTTGCTAGAAATTACTCTTGTCTTTTTTTTTTTTTTTCCCCAGCCTTTTACAAAGGTTCTGTTCACTCCAGCACACACATGATGTCGGAAAAGAAATATGGAAACATCACAACTCCTGAGAAAGAGCAAGACTTGCCTGTTCCAGCCAGACTCCAGACTCCTCATCAGGTGCCCAGAGGATCACAGTTTTGTCCATGGATGCAGACAGGATTCTCATGGGTTGCTGCACGCTGCCATCTACAGCAGAAGGCGAAAGATCACCCTACAGGCTACAGGAACCCTCTCCAAAATAACCTGGTCATGCTGAAACCCAGGCATGCCCCCAAAGTTGTTCAGCACTGGAGATCTACAGTGCAGCAGCTAAGCGCTAGAATTAAATGTCTTTAAGGTCTTAATGTCAAGGATTATTGTTAGAAGGTATAAATGTTTTGGTTTTTTTCTTTCAAAGGTAATTTACCAAAGACAAATGTAAAATACATACGTGAGAACAACCAAACTCTACTCTTCAGTTCGCTCCAAAGTGATATTGAAAAAGCCCTAACTTAGAGGAAAAGCTAGAGCTGCACACAGGGCTCTGCGTAACAGTTCAGCCACTGGCCAGTCACTGGCCACCAATGAGAAGAGCTTGGCCCCTTCCTCCTCACATTCTCCCCTCGGGTATTTGCACATGTTGATCAGATCCTCTCTCAATCTTCTCTTCTCCAGGCTAACCAGGCCTGGCTCACAAAGTCCTCCCTCATACAAGAGAGGCTCCAGTCCCTTAATCATCTTCCTTCCTCTCTGCTGGACCCTCTCTAATGCACCTCAGACTGTAGCACCCTGCAGCAGATGCTGCTCTCGGAGTTACGCTGCCCCGCTGCAGGCAACAGCCCAGCACTGCTGGAACAGGACGAGGGAGCTGCTCCATCAGCCAAGAAAGATATCCAGGGACAAGTGTGGAAAAGCCTTCCCAGGTGGATGGGGACACTGGTGCACACCCCCTCCAGCAGCACCTTTCAATAATGCCACAGCTCTGATCTTCTCCACAGGGACGCAGCAAGCACCGCTTCCAAGAGTCTATCTCTTGGATCAGCCTACACCTATGGAGGAGGATAATCTATTTTGGGAACCCAAACTGGGGCAAGCTGAAAAGATGGAAGCAGCTGCCTTAGTGCACGTATGCAGAACCACGATGTGAGACACTCAGAAGAACTTATTGGTCTAACAGGACAGGGCTTTACAAAAAAGTAAAAGAAAAAAAAAAACAATTAAATGAGCATTTCTCAAGCAGGTGGCATATCTTTCTTGACAGGTATTTTGCCATTCTTATTTCACTATACTGCTGAGGCACTGCAGACACAATGGCAAAGTACTGCCTGGTACTGGTTAAGCCACCTGGCACAAGATTAAAACATAATAGAAAGAGAAGGAAAAAAAGACAAAAGTGCAGCTTTGCCAAGACAAACGTAACAAAGCCTTCTCACAGCACAGGCATGTCAGATCAAGAACCTCATTCCTTTAATTCCTGTGTGCCTTGGGCAGACATGCACAAATAACTCAGTCCTGCAAAGAGAACTGCCAGAATTTAAGGATTTGGAGAGAAAGATGAAGGCTGGGGCAGGATGCAGAATTAAAAACTGTAAAAAGTTTTCAATAGAAGTTTGAGTGAGTACTTCAAAACTACATAGTCAAAACTTTTAGCTAGTCAAAACTGATACTCAAGGAACTAACATACTGAAAATAAAATTAATATATCGAAAAATAAAGATGAAATTTCTGAACGTTGCTATATGCTCCTTTCTAGTGCAAAACAAGAGTGCTTTTGAGTTAAAACATATCTTCAAAAGAACTGACATTTCAGACACATTTATGAAGACAAAACAATAGAGCTATTGTTATTCAGTATACACTAAACAAAATTGAATTTCATCCCATAAACACCACATGGGTTATAATAAAGTCAATATAACTCAGTTTTTCATTCATAAAAGAAAACAAGAATAATGCACAGCACCACACAACACACAGCCACAGAGAATCTGCAACAGCAGTATATGCTATTGTGGCACATGTAGCCAAAACATCAGCTTACTTAGAAAACATCATTTGCCAAATTCTAACGTTTTCGTAGTCCACAGGGAGCAGCGAGCAGTGCCTACACGATGCAAAGCCTTCACGCATGCAAGCCCAACTGTTACGGCGCTCGATGTCTTTTACCTTTGAGAACAGGGGGCTGCCAGTGAACTGCGCACACCCAGTTTTCGTGACCAGCCAACACAGACTCCAAGGTAACTGCATAAGTTGTATCTACCACAAAATGGAGAAAAAAAACCCACATTTGTTTCTAAAATTCAGATCTTAAAAAAAAAAAGAAGAAGAAAAAAATCAGATAATTTTTGGTATTTCAAAAATATCACCAGCTGCTTTCATGACCCACCAATCCCCTGTTAACACAGAACAGCTCTTTGAAAACCTACCTGGATGCCAGCCTCACAGACCTCACTGGCAGCAACAATCAGATTACTGCCTCGGAGAAACACTACACAATTCCTGGGGATCTCTCAAGGAACTTTGAAACAAACCTGCAAATTGCCTCTACTCACTCTTCAGCAAGCTTACACCTCCAAATGACTGCAAATGTTAAGATATTTTGAACAGTGCACCTGGATTTGCAGCAAACAGCACGAGCTCTTTTTACACCTTCAAAAAGAAGCTGTGTGATGTTTTACTACACAAGCTGCCTAGGAACTTACCTTATGCCAGCCCTACAAGCCTCTAGTGTTAGAGTGGCCAAGCAGCACGCTAACTAGCCCAGAAAGCCTGAACACACTCATCCATTCTCTCACCTTTTTAAGGGTCAAGCAGCATTAGTACTTCTTGAAGCACTGAATTTGAAAGAAAATTAAAGGTATGCTAAACTGGGGCAAAACTGCTTAACAGTTTACTTCCCACAGACAAATTTGTCTCAAACAGTGGACACCTGCAGTTAGAATAACTATAACTATGTATGAAGATATTAAGTTCTCTGCTTTCGTGTTTTTCATAGCTCACATTTAGCTTCATATAGGCCCTGCTTTAAATATGCTAGTTTTTTCATGGCTGTACAAAAATAAAACAGTCGGGCTGGTCTTAGTGTCCTCTAATAGAATAAAAACAAAAGCAGCTAGATGGTAACCAATTGCCCCCATACCACTAACACATACACTAGGAAAGCTGTACAAGAGTATTTCACAGCTGTTACCTACCTTTAACGGTAAAAACATTCTCTTTCAGCCTTATGGAATAATTTTCATTTTCTGGAAATTGCTTCAATTTTGTACACACTTTCCAAATTCTTATCAAACAGTCCTGAGCACCGCTCACTAAGAAAAGCTCCTCGCCTGTTTGGTTAAAAGAAAGCAGTTAGAGAGACACAGTTTTGTATGTTTTTCCCATTGCCACCCACTGACATGCTAAATCTACCATCCTTTTAAACTTTGACTCTAGCATTATCCTGATTTTCCACATCCTTGTGGTAAATATCGTATATTTGCTTCCCTATTACTTAGAGATCCACCTCACCACATTCTGACATCGACAATGAGTTACTTGAGAGAACGGAGGAAAGGATTTCTTATGAAGTATCATGGCCATGGTTCCTTCCTCTAGCTTTCTTTTCACCATTGGAAAAAATATTTGATTAGTTAACATCTGTTAACTACTCATTAAAAAACAGGGAGAGGACTCTTGCCACTGCCTTCATTAAAGGAGGCAGCCCTTTTGTTTGGATACAGATACCAGCACAAGGAAAAGCTGCCGAATTTCCTGCTTGTCTTTATTCAGGCACCAGCCTCTGAACACTTGAGGCAGGCAAAGCCCACGGGGGCAGGCAAACACAGGACACCATGTTCTGCATCAGTCTACTATAGTCCTAATTACTAGAACTAAAAGATATCACGTAGGTTCAATAACTTGAAATTTGAAAAGGACACAAAGCTCCACCTTTAGTTTTAAGAATCTGAACGCCTTTGATTGGAACTACCATAGTCTTTACTTAACTGAAACTACCCTTGTCTTTACATCACCATCTCAGAAAAAAATACAGCCTACACTGCTTAGAAGCTACCGAGCATCAAAACCACCCCTTTAAGCAGCAAAACACTACTATCATTAAAACCATTATTGCACCTTATTGATGTTTCATACTGACCACATATTGCCCACTCAACGCTTCTTATCCAGTCTTCATGGCCAGGGAGTATTAATGTTCTCTGAAACTGAACAAAAATTCCCGTTACATTGTAGAAACATACTTATTTACCAAGCACATACAGCCTTGGACAACCAGCTTTGGAGTCGCAAGTCCTCCACATTTACAGCTCCAATTTGAAGTTACCTAAGACTTTTCTTAGAAAGATATTCATCAGTGATTGTATCTGCAGATGGAAAACTCTACGAGTAGAGGTTCATGAACACAGGAACACAAACATGGTCAAGATTATCTTAGAAAAAAAAAAAAACAATAATGGTACATTTTTATTAATAAAATATGTGATCTTACCCTTCTATATCAAGTAAGGTAGACATGTTTAATGCCTACTTGGCACTTAAAATTTTTCTATTTTCTTAGTCCACAGAAAGCTCCACTCTCATTACATTTTTACCCTCTAACTTCTGCTTTGAGGGAAGGTGAGTCGGCATGAGCCAACCAAACACTCCAAAAGGAAGGCCTTTCTTTCCGGTCCATCCCTCCTGGGTAACCCCCAAACATCTCCTCCCACCAAGCAGCGTTTCACTGCCGTTTCCTGCTTTATATCTGCAGCTCTAATGGTAGGAACCACCTGAACATGGGACGTGCGGCCACACGAGACATACGAGCAGAATGTTTTAAGAAAAGTTCCCAAATTGGAAAGTTTTGGCCTTGATTAAAACCCCCTATTCTCACAGCCATGCAAGTTTTATCTACCCAGTGACTGCTGCACTCCCTGGCATCCTTGTCCCCATCCATATGGGACTTTCAGAGAGGCCACTGGTTCTGCATATGTCAGAGCAGGAACTACCAGGGCAGCAAGATCAAGCCATGACCTAAAAGACTCTCTTGAACATTTCTTGTTTCCTATAATGCATTAGAAATTTAATGACTTTTGTATCTTTATAACTATTCACAGCTCCAACAGGAGCTTGAACTCATTAATAGAAATAGATTTGATCTACTTTATGCCTTGCATTTTACACTCACTAAGGTTAGATTGTGATTTTATTCCCAAATGAAAAGTTAGCTCAGGGTAAATTTTTGATAACTTTGTCTTCTTCAGTTCCTTTTATGGAACACGATAATCATTGCTTAGTTGAAGTCTTTTTGTTTTGCTTTTGTTTTAAGGGAAGAAGGTAAGAGGAGAGGGAAAAAGTCACTTTTTTTCCTCCGCATGCTTTGGCTGACAATCATTCAACAATTCCTTTGGACTTTAACAAAGCTCCTGAAAAAGAGATGCAGGAGAGGACAGAATACTTTGCAATGCTCCAAAAAAAAAAAAACACTAAATATTGCCAGTTGCCAAATAATGCATGAAGAAAATACCATTCTATTAAAACTATCAAGTATTTCTTGGAATTTTCACACACAATTAGCCCAGAGGTCACAGTTAATGAGAACCACACAATTTCACAGAGAGAAATCTCAGTTTTATTGTGAGAATTTCCAGGAGGAAAATAATGTAATTTTCATGTGAAGCACTTGAAGGGATGCCCATTAAAGAAGGAAAAGCAAAGTTCTCATGACAGTGCAAATAAAAAGACAGGCCTTCCTCATATACATATACAGTGAAGAGAAAAAAAAAAAAAACCTCACACACAGAAACTAAACACACTGATCCCAGTTTTAATATTCTGTACATCATCATCATCTAGGAAACAAATGGAATATCTGAACAAGAGCAATGTAAATGCTCTTCATGTCTACCTAGACAGAGAGACAAAAGTTAATGAAGAAACTAAAAATATCATCAGTAGCAAAAAAAAAAAAAAAAAAAAGAAAAAAACAAAGGAAGTAGAAGAATTTTGCACTGTTCCAAATAAGAGAGAAAAGCTCTAATTACCTGACCATCCTGCTGTATAAACAAATGTATTTTGCAGTCATCACCACCACAAGCCAAGATTGGTACTGGAAAAAAAAAAAAAAAGTCTTCATTGCTACATTGAAAAAAAATTAATATTCTGTGACATTAAGAATGACAGAAATAAGACAAAATATAGTGATACAAATATACAGGTTGGCATGATACTGTAACTTAAGACATTTAATACTATGCAAAATAAACACGCATTTCAAGAATACAAATTATATAATTGAATACATATACAAATAATACAATATATATTATATATATGTGTGTATGTGAATATATATATGTAACTTTGTCATGGTTTGAAACGCAAACTGTTTCTTACCAATCTGACAGCACAAATCACTCATATTGGAATAAGCACTCAAAAATAAACACACACACCTCTTCTCAGAGTTCTATGAGCACTGTGTATTTTGGATAAATCATTTTAGTAAGCAAGGGAAGGACTGTAGTAAAGGACTAACTGCTTTAAATACAAGTTTAAGTAACATGAGGTTTTGAGTATTAAGGGCAATGGGTATTGTTTCTCAAAGTGTTTGTTTTGGAAGCACCTAGTTTTAAGAAGTTTTAAAATCTGAAATGTATATTAGTTCAATAATTTGAAAAAAAAAGTAGTGAACACTCACTTCTTTCATATATAACATGATTTCATTGTTAAACTAAAACAGTGCTCCAGAGTATTACAGTGAGAAATTCTTATCTGTACAGTATCATGTGAAGAAATATCTATTGCTTCACAGTATGGATTTTATACTGCTTTTTGCACTGCCACTAAAGGTATGTGCCTACTTCATCTCAACAATCACCTACTAGTATATGAAGAATAGAGAGGGTTTAAAGTATGTGCTGGAAAATAACACCACTTTTGATACCAGACATCTCTGGAAAGCAGATGTTACTATTTCTAAACAATGCATTCTCTCCCCTTGCCACAGCTCTTACGAGAGAGAAAAGCTACAAGTTAAAGAAAATAAGCTTCTATATAATCATACTGGAGGCACACACTTGATGAAGACACCTCTGCATAGATCTGAAGTGAACATGTGCAGAGAATTCCACATACAGCAAAAATCCTTGGACTTTTTCCCCTTGGTAACTTAGTACTCCTTCATCTTGACGGAAAACAAACAACATCTAAACATAAACCAAATGAAATGGATCCATCTGCCTTGTACAGTTGTAGGAACGGACAACATTAAGTTGAGGGGAAAAACAAAAACAACAACAACAACAAAAGAGCTTCTAGATGTTTAGATGTTTGTAACAGAAAAGTGTCCATGGGCTTCAAAAGCAGCTTCACTAGGGAAAAACTCTCATCATAAACATTAATAGAAAACTACAAAAACCACACTGAACATGCAAGTTAAAACTGTTCACCAGTTAAACCTTTTCGTATTTATTTAGGTGAACACTGCTCTTCCGTGTGCAATTTTCATGCAGGCATGCAAATTACTTTTCTGCATATTCAATCCAAATGAATGAAACAAACAACTGTGCCACAACTGAGAGTATAAAACAAGTAGCTCATTCTATCCCATTTACTTACAACTCCATTATTCTTTTTTTCTATGCCCTGTATCTTACAGAGAAACGCCGCTTGTTTTGAAAACACTATAATCAGCAATTATTCCAATCACTAAGAACACAATCAACAGAAATATTTAGATATTAGCAGTAATTTACATTGATTCCCTAGGAATTAAAAAAAGAGAAAGGAGGGGAAAAAAAGCCACAAGGTCAAGATTTTGGAGTTGGTCAACTGAAAATCCTATTACATTGTTTATAAAACATTTGAGGGATTTAGGGATTTTGTGGGTTTTATTTTTCACGAGTTGATATCAACATTTGCGGCTGTACTCACCATTGCTGCCAGGCAAGAAAGATAAGGAAACATCCATAACAAATCCATTTCCAAACTGCAATATTTGAACGCATTTAACTGAAAAGGTAGAACAAACAGCATTTAGCTCCAATTCAATTTTATTTGAAAGACATTGATTTTTAGAGGTAAAAATAACGGTAAAAAATAAAGTTATATTTTGTGGACCTACGGAAACCCATTCAAAGCTAGCTGATTTAGAAGTAATTATTTCTCAGCCTAGTATTAAGGTTACAATAACGAAACTGTACAACTTATTTGAAGCAATTAATATGCCAAACTACTGAAAAAAAGAAGTTATTTTTCCTCCCCCGAGGATGGCCCTGAGATCCTACAAGTGGTTAAACTGGCGAGCCATTGACATTAGAGTATCAGACAGGAAAGTAAAAACACACTTCCTACAAAAGAAGGATTTAAATCCCCAGGATTAAACATGTCCTATCACACAACAGCAAGGCTGAAGGGAAAAGCCAGGACTCGAGGGTGTCCTTTCAGAGCACAGGGGAACGTTTCACAGAAGGCCAGCAAGGCCAAGCTCTTCCTCCAGTGCAGGCAGGACAATGGGGAATCCTCAGGTAGGGCAGCTAATGGAGAAACCAGTTTGAGATGTGTTTGCAGCACAGTTCAGATAAAGCAACACTCTGCATCTACATCTAAATTATCCACGTATTATTTATGTATTCCAAAGAGCTGTTCACCTGCATGGTGAACCTGAACAGAAGGTCTCATATTTCACTGGACTCTAGTCACTATTACAAAAAACATGACTAATTTAATCTCATATTTCTAAGAATAACATTATCATTTCACTAACTGATCTCACTCCAGACACAAAGAGCTTTAGCTTTGCACTCATATTCCAGGGGCAAATTAGGGTTCAAATTATTGGATTTTGAAAACACATTAAAAGAACCTATCACCAGTAAATTCAGACCACATAATCACTGATCAAAAATTAAATTTAATTAGACCCAGAGTTATTAAACTAGTACAACCTTACAGCTCTCAGAGTAATACATCTGCTTGAGGGACCCAAGTCTGAAGAGAAAGCGGTGCCTTGCTTTCGATGTCGGCCTTCAGCCAGGTCGAAGCCCTTCAAAGCATTCTCCCCTTTCACCCCTAGACATTAGGCCAGCACGTCGGCCCTGACATTGACCAGGTTTACCTTCTGAACCCCGCCGGGACCAGACTCTCACGGTGGAGTCGGAAGCTGCCGAAGCCGCTAAGAGGTGCGAGTCACATTCGTCTCCCTGGTAGGCGGCATCCACTGCACACACAGCCTCGGTGTGGCCTTGCAGAGGGACGCTTCGCACACGCTGAGCACGGCAGAGAGAGTCACACAAGTCAACAAAACCCAGTTCCAGCAGCTTATCCAAGAGACTGTTTAAGAAACGCCCTTATTTTTAAATGATAGTGAAAACAAATTGTACGTTCTGACTGCAGAGCTTCTGCCAAAGCATGTGCTTTAACTACAGCATATTCCAAGAAAGACATAGGAGAGGGATACAGTGGTTAAAAAAAAAAAAAAAAAAAATCCAGCATTTATCCAAACTTTGGCACAGATACTCTTGGTACTTCTTTCAAAGATGAGGCTGGTAGATCACAATTTTTGATAGAACCAACATAGAACTTGAGCTCTGCACTAGCCTAGAATCATTGTTCAAATGTACACATTTCCTCATTCTTTTCCAAGGACCGTCATTAGGCTATGCAACGCATTAGTGGAAAAACAGGTTAAAGAACAATTTAAATACTATATTTTGAGAGATTATTTTAAATGATATTTTGAGAGATTATTTTAAATGTTATTCACAACAGGTGGAAGTCAGCCAGGAAGGTGGTTCGTGTGTGTGTGTGTGTGTGTGTGTGTGTGTGTGTGTGTGTGTGTGTGTGTGTGTGTCCCAACCAAACAAGCCTTTAGGCTTGGTGCACTTCCCCCTAGTACATTACCAGTCCCGCACATTTCAGGAAGTTTCAAAAAGTCTGATACACCTTGAGTTAGCCTGTTTCTCCTATACCAATACTCCAATACTCTCCTATACACCTAATCACAAGTCAGTGGCTAGTAAGTTAGATCTAAGCAGCTACTCATCAAATTAGACAAAGTACCAAGCAGCTTTCTTTTCCACTTAAAGTAACTTTTCTTCTGAGTTTTGATTTATTCTGAAGGCTTGTATTATGCCATACTTCATCTTTTCGATTACATATTTACTCCATTAATAAACTGGTGAAATCTCCCCACTTCTCTTCACAAAATTCAACGCATGCATCCCCCCCACACACCTTCTTTTTTTGTTTGTTTCTTTGTTTTTTAATACAGACATCTCAACTTGTTTACACTTCTCGTAAGAGTATCTGTAGACTGGTACAACTTTGTTACATGGACTGACTAGAAATCATTAGAAAGGGACACACAGTAACAATGAAAAAGTGTTCAGGAAGTTTCAACAACAACAAAAAATAACTCACAGTATGAAGAACAATGCAAAAATAAACAGAGGGTATTACATGAAGAAAAGAATCTGAACACTAGAACAGATATACAAAATCTTTGAGACAAATCCATATGAGGTAGGACTAGCTAATTTCTTAATGGAAAGGCAATTTGAAAAGATGTGGAAGAGAGACAGTAATAACTGGCATTACACCCTGTACCACCATTCTGTTTGCACTGGAATTAAAACACAGACATTCTGGAGAAGGTACATTTGGGGTTCGGTAGTCAAGGAACAATGAAGAAACATGAATTATACAGACAAAGCAATTTATCTGGTAAATTCATTTAAGATATATTAAGTTATATTAACTTTAACTTACAAGTCATATTAAGTTATACTTGAGAAACCAGAAAAATAATAAGAAGCAGATCTGAAGTGATATCATTTCAGCCTACCTGTTCATTCCATGTTCCCATTCCATTCCACTCCCAAAGAATAAGCTGTTTATCTGATCCACCAGAAATTAGCTCTGTTTCAGTAGCTTATAAGAAAAAAAAAAGTTTTAATGTATCCACTAAAGTAAGGATAATACAAAATGTATATCTTTTATTTAATCAATTATCGTGAAAATAATATAGTTTAAGACAACACTATGAGAAAAATCACAGGAATGAATGCTCAGATTTTCATATGAATATGATAGAGGACACATCCATAAAAAAGGGGGGAAATAAATCTAATCCAGGAGAGCTCTAAACCTCACATGAGAAATTTAATTCCCAAGTTGCCAGAAAATAATTTATATTAATCTCTTAATAAAAAAAATAAAAATAAAAATAAAAATAAAAATAAAAATAAAAATAAAAATAAAAATAAAAATAGAATTGGAAAGGGAAGAAAACATTTTAGTGCAACCGCTAGAAAGCTGCCATTAGAGAGGACTTTTTTGGACTTTTTTGGGGTGGAACTCCAGTTCCACCCACACTCCTGAAGTTGGGGGGGGGGNCAGGCGCCCCCCGCCGCGGAACCTCCGCGCGTGCCCGGGGTCCCCGCCGCGGCACTCACCGCCGCTCGGCCGGCGCACCCAGCGCACGCAGTTGACCCTGTCCGTGTGTCCGCGGAAGGCGCCCAGCACCCGCCTCACCTACGCGCGGGGCACGAGAGAGGGGTCGCCGGTGAGACTGGCGCCGCGAGCAGCCCCCGGCCGCCGCCGGCCCCCGGGCCGCCACTCACCGCCGGCTCGTAGAGGAGCACGTCGCGGCTGGTGCCGAAGGCGAGGACGCCGCGGCGGCCCCACGACACGGCGCCGGCGCCCGCCCGGTTGGCGCAGCAGGCGGCGTGACAGAGCGACACGGGCGCCGCCATTTCCCGCGGCCACGTGGGCGCCGCGGCCGCGCCCGCCGCACGCCCCGAACGGGCACGGAGGAGGAAAGGAGAAGAATAAAAATAATAATAATTTTAAAAAAAAAAGGGGGGGGGGGGGAAGGCGGGGGGGGGGGAAAGGGGGGGGCGGGGGGGGCGCGGGGGGGGGGGGGAAGAAAAGAAAACAACAACAACAAACAACCACAGGAAAGTTGCAAGTCCCGGGCCCCTTACCTCACACTGACTTTCCAGTAAATACCTTTTTCCCCTTTGGCGGAGAGCTGCCCTAAAAGCCTAAGGGCAAGCGCGGGTGCTTCTGAAAGGGCTGCACCCCGACCCGCTAAAAGCAGTAACTGCCATCGAGCAGAGCCCTCGGGCGCCTTTCATTTCACCGCATTTTTGGGTGCCAGAGGTTCTGCACACCCAGAGCTCCCAAGGGGCAGGATGAGGAGCCTCCGCAGCAGCAGGACAAGGAACGGGGAATAAAGTTACGCGTCCAACGGCCGCTTCCCAAGCCCGCGGCCGCCGGGGCGCAAACCGCCACCTCGCCGAGCCGCCGCCAGCTCGGACAGCTTAAAGACGTTTTCCTGCGTTTAACGCGTTTT